TGGGGTTTTTGAAATTCTTTTGTTTTCTTTTTTCCGCTTGTTTGCTTGTGGGGTTGTTGGTTTGTTGTTTTTTTTGTCTTTTTTTTTTTTTGCTAAAATATTTTTTTTTCTAAAATCAAAGAACCTAAGTACACAACTCCTTCAAGTAATAGACAGAGGGATCTGACCTCTCGCAGAAAAAGTACGGCTATGTGGAAGTAAGATAATGTTCGTTTTTAAAAACAAAAGAAACTAAGCACACGACTCCATCAGGTAACACAAGAGTTTGTTGACCTCTCGCAAAAAAATGTACGGCGAAAAGGAAAACTTTATCTCTATTTTGATTTGTCTTTAACTAGGCTAAAATATTTTTGTGTTTGTTTTTACTAAAGAAATTAAGCACACGACTCTTTCAAGTTAAAAAAAAAGACTTTGTTGACCTCTTACTGAAAGTGTATGGGCAAAAAAAGGAAGTAGAATACTGTATTTCTTTTTTGATTTGTCTATTACTAGGCTAAAATATTTTTGTGCTTGTTTATAGTAGCCCTGTTCGTACGCCCTGGGGTCATTTTGTACCCCCGGGTTGTATTCTACACATTTTAGAATACTTCTAGAGCGAAGATCTCTTTGAAACGTTCAGTATTTCTCAAAAAGTTATTTTGACAGACTACTATTCAAAGCGAACGGATCGGATTAACGAGTAAATTTCCTCTTTGGAAAGTGGTGGCACAGAGTTCCCCACGTCGTATGGATACAATAGTAAAACACGACGTACGGATAGAAATTAAGTACACGACTCCTTCAGGTTAAAAAAAGAAGACTTTGTTGACCTCTTACTGAAAGTGTCTGGGCAAAAAAGGAAGAAAAATACTTTATTTCTTTTTTGAGTTGTCTATTACTAGTCAAAAATAGTTGTGTGTTTGTTTGTTGTTGTTTTTGGGGTGTGTTTTTTAAATTAAGTATTTGACTCGTTCAGGTAAAAAAAAAAAAAAGACTTTGTTGACCTCTTACAGAAAGTGTATGGCTAAAAGGAAATTGGCTAAAACTTTGTTTTTACTTTAGCTTATCTAATATTTTGAAGACTAAGTTTTGTTTTGCTGTTATTTTGGGATTGTTTGGTGGATTTTAATGGGTTTTTATTTGGTTTTATTTTATGTTTTGTTTGGGTTTTTTGGGGTTGGGCGGCTGTTTCTTTTGTTTTCTCTTTAATTAAAGAAAATAGTTCCATGATTTATTTAGAATCATTCAGGTGACTAAGACTTTGTTGACCTCTTCCTGAAAAAAAGGCTAAAAAGAAGTAGGCTGCTATGTTTTCACCCTTTTTTTAAGGTGTCTAATCTAAAATATTTGGTTGCTATTGTTCTTCTTTTTAAAAAAAAAAAAAAAAAACAACAACCGAGCACACTATTACCGAAAGTGGTTCCCTACGTCACAATTACGTCACTACTCTTTATCCTTTGGATCGTTTTTCTGTTTGTTTGTTGTTGTTGGGGTTTTTTTTGGTGTTTGGTTGGTTGGTTTTTAAAAAGAGAAACTAAGAACACAAAAACCTCAGGCGGTTCTCTGAGCCATATAATCACCGCCACTCTTTAAGCTATGGTATTCCAA